AGGAAAACTGACCAGGGAAGATGCAGCTGGCCCAAGGTCACACTCTGTGCTTGGAACAGAGCAGTAGCTTCTCCTGGGGGGCAGGACTGACCCCTTGGGCTCACTCCGGGGTGGGGGACTCTGGAGCCAGGCTGACAACGATCAAATCTTGGCAGGAGTGGCAGGCTGCCTGGTCCTGTTGCCAGGGAATTTGTAGAGCTGGGCCCCCGGTCCTCTGGCCAGTGACTGCTGTCCTCCACAGGTTTTTGGCATCCTGGAGAAAGCCAAGGAGAAATACGGCGTGGACGACTATTCTGTGAGCCAGATCTCATTGGAGCAGGTCTTCCTGAGCTTTGCACACCTGCAGCCACCCACCTCCGAGGAGGGGCGATGAGGGGGGCATGGTGGGAGGGACAGGAGCCAGGGCCTGTGCCACTGGTGTGCATCTGTCCCAGGGAGTCCTCCCGTCTTTCACTTTCACTCACTGTCTCCTGTGGTGGCTCTGAAGAGAAGCGAGACAGTCTGCACAGAACAGACTCAACGCATTGGCACCCTCCAGGGCAAGGCAGCCAGCAGGCCTCAGCTTCCCAGGCCCAGCCGCCGGGACTCACGCTGCCAGCCCAGACTTGGGTCTCCCAGGTGTGGGCAGGCAGGCATCCCCAGCGGAGCCTGGCAACTGGGTCTCTATAGGAGCTCACGCAGGGAAGGGGCCCGGCAGGCAGCATGGAGGAAGCGAGACCCCAGCAGGGATGAGGAGCAACCAGGCCCCCAGGCTGCTGGCAACGGGAGGCCACAGAGACAAGATGGCAGCATGGCTCGGGGCTGAGACTGCCCTCCAGGCACTGCCACCGCCAGCGTCCTGAAGTGGCTGACCCAGACCGGCAGCACTGTCCACCGCTCCCTTTAGGACAGTGGGGACCAGGGGTACCGAGCACACACTAAGCACATTGTCCAGAAAATAAAGGCTGTCTGTTTCAGACATGTCATGAGCTCCATCACTCACCCACCAATCCCAGCAGGAACCCCACTTTCCCCATGGCTGAGGGGGACAGCCACCAAACAGTGAACAGGTGGGTCCCTGTAGCGGGGGAGCAGCTGGCCCCTGGACACAAAGTTCTCTTCTAGAAGATTCTTCCTCAGTATTAGCTCCCTTATGTGTGCAGTGTCCTGAGGTTTTTCACAGCTTTATTTTGACTTAAGTCCCTGCATTTGGCATTACCTTACAATTCACCATTTTAGGAAAATTTCTTCTCCCTGTGGCCCTAGGGCACTTCTTATTTATACTTTTCTCAGTTTCTCAAACTTTTTTTTAAAAAGATTTATTTTTATTACAAAGTCAGATTTATATAGAGAGGAGGAGAGACAGAGAAAAAGATCTTCTGTCTGACAATTTACTCCCCAAGTGACCGCAGTGGACGGTGCTGCGCCGACCTGAAGCCAGGAGCCAGGAACCTCCTCCAGGTCTCCACACAGGTGCAGGGTCCCAAGGCTTTGGGCCATCTTCAACTGCCCTCCCGGGCCACAGGCAGGGAGCTGGATGGGAAGCAGGTATTAGAACCGGCGCCCATTCGGGATCCTGGTGCTTTCAAGGCAAGGACTTTAGCCACTAGGCCACGCTGCTGGGCCAGTTTCTCAAACTTGATGAAAGTACAGGGAGCTTTCAGTAGCTTCCAACAGACAGATGTACAAAGAAGAGACACAGAGAGAAAGATCTTACATCCACTGGTTCACTCTCCAAGTGGTTGCAATGGCTGGAGCTGAGCTGACCTGAAGCCAGGAGCCAGGAGCCTCTTCTGGGTCTCCAGGATGGGTACAGGGTCATAAGGCTTTGGCCCATGGTGTACTGCTTTCCCAGGTCACAGGCAGGGAGCTGGATGGGAAGTGGAGCAGCTGGGACATGAGCTGGCGCCCACAGGAGGTAAATACAGAGATGGCTGGGAGGGAGCCCCATTGTGGATGCTCAGCTTGGCCTGAGTCACTTCCTCCAACACTCAAGGCACTGTCCCTCACTAGGCCCCAGGGCAGGCGGGCTGGGCAGCTCAACCAGAGCACCTGTTTCCTGTTGTCCCACCTGAGTGGCACTGTCCCCGTGACCGTACTGCTCACCTGGGCCAGCACAGCACTCACTGCACAGGCAGCTGTGCCCTCTGTATCCCCTGCCCCAACAAGGACCAGCCAGTGCCACCTGAGCCTGCGCTGCAAGTGGAGTTGTAAGGAGAGCTCTTGGGGTAGGTGGCCTGGCCCCACTGGAGCCCCAAGGGGCTGCCCTCCGTCCACGCCCCCACGGAGAAGACAGCCCACACACCCTCCTCCCCACGGCTATCATGAAAACCCCAGGACCTGGGCAGCCCTTGTCCTTCTCCCAAAAGAACCCTTAAAAGAGGGGGCCTCGGGGCTGGGGAGCAGGAGTCTGAGAGGGGGCAGCAAGCCTGGCCCTAGGCTTCCACAGGCCTCCCTCACACCCAGGAGGCAGGACAGCACTGGGGGGCCCCTCCTCACCGGCTGGGCCCTCCAGGCCTGGGCAGGCTGCAGCTGTGGGGTTGGCCCTGGGGAAGGGAGGACCCTGTCTCAATAGTTGCTCAGGCCCCCACACTGCCAGCATGGGGTGCCCCACCTAGTTGGCCTGTCCTGTGACACTGCAATGAAGTGCAACTAGCTGTCACTACCTCAGAAGTACATAAGAGGCTCCAGGGGTGCTCGGACCCCCACGTCCACTGCTCCAACCCTGGGACCCTCCAGAGGGCAGCCTGTGCTGCTGTCTAGGATAGTCTGGGGTGGCTGCTGTAGGAACCTCAGTCCCTGGCAACACCCGGGGGGACCCCATGAATCCAATCTGTCTAGGGCAAGATCACCCCAAACTGTGGGACTTCCCCTGCAGTCTGGTTAACCCAGGAGACCTCCGTTCCTCCTCAGACGGGCACCAGGCCTCAGAGACCATATGCTACCCAGGCCCCAGCCCCAAGGCTCCACCCTGCCTGCCACCCCTGCCCATCCAAAGCTGCTGGAGTTCACTGCCCTTTGCAGCACACCACAGGCTACCTGTGTGTGCAGAGGCAGAGGCAGCCCTTTCCTAAGGGTGCCCACGCTGCTGCGCCCCAGACTGCCGCTAGGGAAGGGGGCTGAAGACACTGGCCACAGCCTCAGCCCAGGCAGGACCCTCCAGCGTCAACCTTAGCAGGCTGGCACCAGGGCTGGGAGCACAGCGGAGTGGGTTCCCACCACTGAACCTCTGCCAGTCTCCAAGCGCCACAAGCCAGGCCGCTCAGTTTGTAGCTGCAAAGCTGGTGGCACATTTGATAACAGAATTAGTGATATTCAGAAACAAATCTCTCACCTCCCTGTGTGCCTGAATAAATCACGCTTTTAGATTTAATATAAAATGTGTTATTTTTGCTGTGCCAAATTATTAAAGAGCATTAAAAAAAATTTTTTTTTAGATTTTTTTATTGGAAAGTCAGATATACAGAGAGAAAGGCAGATTTCCAGAGAGGAGAGACAGAGATTCACTCCCCAAGTGGCTACAATGGCCAGAGCTCAGCCAATCCGAAGCCAGGAGCCTCCTCCAAATCTCCCACTTGGGTGCAGGTCCTAAGGCTTTGGGCCATCCTCGACTGCTTTCCCAGGACACGAGCAGGGAGCTGGATGGAAAGAGGGGCCACTGGGACACAAACCAGCGACCAGATGGGATCCCAGTGTGTGCCAACGTGAGGACCTTAGCCACTAGGCTGCCGCGCCAGGCACAATGCAAGGGAGAGCCTGCCCTCTCCCCACACCGGGGTCTGGGGCCTCTTTGGCCAGGCGCTTCAGGTGCTCCCCAAGTCGCCTTCAAGGCCCACCAAAGCCATCAACAAGCTGGGGACAGCAGCCTCGCACCAGACCTGCTTGTCCTCCTCCTCCTGCTCTGAGGGTTCCTCCCATGGGCGGGCCCCAGCAGGCAGGCTGCCCAGCTCCCCTGCCCCCCGGGGTGACGGGAGAAGGGCACCAGTGCCACGCCTGGATGGGGGAGGCAGTCAGCATGAGCCTGCTGGACGGCAACCCTGGCCCCAGGAGCGGGGAAGGGGACCCGAGGACACCGCTGGGCTCAGTCTGCCCTGTGTCCCTGAGGCCTGCCTCGCCTCTCCAGCCCCCTCCCGCCCTTTACCCAACCTCACACCCCGTCTCTTGTCCTCTCGTCTAACAGCCCACAGGTCAGGGAGGGCTGTGGTCTCCTTTCTCCAAAACCCCGGCTCGGAGCTGCCATCTGGGGCCGAGCACCCCCCCGCCCTTCCACAAACTGTCACAGGACAAGGACTCCAGGAAGGTGGCCGGGGCTCAGCGGGGCCCCTCGGTGTGACCCGTCCCTCCCGGGCCTTCCTTCAGGGGCGGTCGGGGTGGCATGGCCTTCCGTGCACTCCGCCACCCCCGGCCCTTGCACCCAGATTCCAGCGCCCCTTTGGGCCTGCTCCCGGCTGCGACGCCATCTTCCCGCCCTCGGCTCCTTCCCTTCCTCCCCGCCTTGAGCTCCAGACTTCTCCGCCCCGCCGCGATCACAGTTCGAGTCCCGCGTGTACGGGGTCACCCCGTCCCTGCCGGGTCCACGGCACCCCTGGGGTTCGTCCCGCCCGCGCCGTGCCCAGCGGCCCATCCCGCCCCGTTCCGGCCCCGTTCCCGCCCGGCCAGAGGACGCCCAGGGCTCCTCCACCTGGGCGACGCCGCCTGCCCTTTGACCCTCCCCAGGCTCGCGCCCATTGGCCGAGGCGCTGCGTCATCGCCGCGCGCCGCCCGGCGGCCCCTTCCCGCGCTCGGGCGCTGACGACAGAAGGGCGCCGGCCTCGGCGGCTGCGGACGCAGGAGGCGGAGGGAAGATGTAAGTGGCGGGGCCGAATCCGACCGCATCCGAGCGGCGGGGGCCGCCCGCCAGCCCCGGAGGGCCTGCTCCTGGCGTGGGCCGGCTGCCGCGCCCCGCCAGGCCCCCGCGGGCCGGCTGCGCGGCCCCGAGCGCTCAGGAGAGGCGCTGTGGCCGCGGCGGCGAGGGGCGGCGTCGCGGCCCGGAAGTGGCGGGCGGGCGGCGGGGCCGGGGGGCGCGCGGCCTTGCGGGAGGGGTCTGCTGCTCGCGTGTGACTAACTCTTCTCTCCTCTCTCTGCTGGCCGCGCACCCTCCGGAGGACGGGGACGTCCCCGAGGCCCTGGACTGGTGTGGACAGAGGAGCTCAGCCTTTGCTTTCTAGCTCGCGACCGCACCCAGCGAGGCGTTCGCTCTCCCCGTGGCTCTTGATTTTTTCCTGTCTAGTCTGAAGCCGGTGGGACCCGTTCCCCGCAGAATGCAGGGGTGGGAGGGCCCGCCCTGTCCAGCAGGGTGGCCGTTGGGCCCTTGAGAGGCCCGGAGCCGACCGTGAGGAAACAGGACCCTGCTAGCCTCTCTTCCGTTGGGAAGGTGAAATTTTGGATATGGCGTGTTGAGCATGTGATGCAAAATTAATTTCGTCTATTTTTGCGATGAGGCTGCAAGAAAATTTGAGGTGGTGCTCGGGGCGCGCCTCGTTTCCCCTTGAGAATTCAGAAACTGCGTGTGACTGTGCACACAGGTGTTATGGCAGTTTGACAAGTTAATGCAAAAGTGAAAAGACAAGTTTAGGTGCAAACAGTCTGAAACCGTGCGTATTTTCATGACGTGTGCCTCCCGTGCCCTCTGAGGAGCCCTGCTAGGGTCGCCACACCAGGTGTGTTCCATGGCTCACCGCGCTGATGGCGGTGAAGGGGGCCGTCCTTGTCACCGGAGAAGGGACGAGTGGCCGGCACAGGGCCTGTGCGGCTGCACCGCCGGCCGCCCTCGCTGTCTGCTGGCAGGTGTCGCTGGGGGGGGTGACAGGACTGCTGTGCGCCCGCCCCTGGCTGCAAGGCACCCAGTGCAAGCATTGCAGGCCGTGCTCCTGGAAAGCAGCCATGAGGAATCGGCCCTCTGACTCTGAGTAGTGACTTGTTAGCATGCGTTAACCAGTCCTCGAGTCCACTTTTTATTTATTTATTTAATTGAGCCCTTGCATGAAATGTGTTGCTTTACACAATTTCAAATGTCAGTCCTCCCTCCTGTTTTTGAAAACCAGTCACCAAGCGCAGTTGGAGCGGTTGTAAGCGCTCTGGTGAGGCCCGCCTACGCTCTCCCACCTGTCGTGTTCCTTGTCAGATATCTAGCCACCTGTCAGCCTCCTTTAAATCACAGACTTCTTTAACAAGCTTTTGTTACTTTTAAGTGTTTGCGTAGTAAATTCTTCAGTACTGCTACCACTCACTTTTTTTTTTTAAAGATTTATTTTTATTATTTTTTTATTGGAAAGGCGGATATACAGAGAGGAGAGACAGAGAGGAAGATCTTCCGTCCGATGATTCACTCCCCAAGTGAGCGCAACGGGCCGATGCTATGCCGATCCGAAGCCAGGAGCCTCTTCCGGGTCTCCCACGCGGGTGCAGGGTCCCAAAGCTTTGGGCCGTCCTCGACTGCCTTCCCGGGCCACAGGCAGGGAGCTGGAAGGGAAGCGGGGCTGCCGGGATTAGAACTGGCGCCCATATGGGATCCCGGGCGTGCAAGGCGAGGATCTTAACCACTGCGCCACCGCGCCGGGCCCTACCATTCACTTTAGAAATGACTTTTGCTGTGGTCTTATGATGTAGTGCATCCTGAAAGGAAGCCTGGACTGGGGTAGGGCTGACCCCGTCCAGAGTGCCGCACTGGATGCGTGTGGCGTCATCACCTTTGCGGGGGCCTGGCAGTGAGCCCTCGTGCCACCCCGCTGCCTCCTGCGCATCTGCCCAGCAGGTGGTCCTGCCGCATGCCCTGCTTCCTGTGCCGCCTTGTCTGTTGAGCTTTGTTTCTGCAAAGTGAACTTGTTGCCTTGCCGATTCATTCATCTTGAACTCCTTTTATCTTGTTATTAGGCTGCTCTTTGGCGTAAATTGCAATCGATTAGGGATCGTTTCTCAGAATCGAGTTAGAAGTGAGAGTTCAGATAAGTGAGGCCGCCACTGCTGCTTTGAACACCTCAGAAGGGGAGAATGGATTTATCAGGAGTGAAAAAGAAGAGCTTGCTAGGAGTCAAAGAAAATAATAAAAAGTCCAGCACTAGGTAATCCTTCCCTAAGATTTTTCTAGTGCTACATTGGGGGTGCGCAACTGCTAGGACCCTCAGGAAGTGCGTCCCACAGTGCGTGTCCCGTGCCACAGTCAACTCTGTGGGCACTGGGGTCTCCGGCCTTTCTGGGTCCCCTCTTCCGGGCTGTGCTGTTAGGGCCTGGCCGGAGGCGCAAGCGCTCTCACACTCTTCCTCACCGCGCAGGGCTCCTTCTCCTACCAAGCGCAAAGATCGCTCTGATGAGAAGCCTAAGGATCGCTCTAAAGATAAAGGGGCCGCCAAGGAGTCGGGGGAGAAGGACCGCGGCCGCGACAAGGCACGGAAGCGGCGCAGCGCTTCTAGCGGCAGCAGCAGCACCAGGTGGGCTGGCTGGCCGGCAGCAGCCCGGCCTCTTCCTCAGCTAGCCACCAAGCACGCATGCCTGGCCGCCGGCCGTGGGAAGAGGGTGCCCCTTCTCTGCATGTTCAGGAGTGGGCTCGGGGTGTGTGCTCAGAGTCCTGGGTCAAGCGATGTGGCGGCCTCGGCCCTGTGGAAGCCCAAAGCAGGAAAGGTTTCTTTGCAGGAACGAAGTGGCGGGACTGGGGAGGAAGCAGAGGCTTGAAGCGGGGGTCCACGCTCGTGCCCATTACAGGGTCGCCTTCCTGTCCTGTCTCAGGTCTCGCTCCAGCTCCAGCTCCAGCTCGGGCTCCAGTACCAGCACGGGCTCGAGCAGCGGCTCCAGCTCCTCCTCGGCCTCCAGCCGCTCCGGCAGCTCCAGCTCCTCGCGCAGCTCCAGCTCCAGCAGTTCCTCAGGCTCCCCAAGCCCCTCTCGGCGCAGGCATGACAACCGGCGACGTTCCCGCTCCAAGTGAGCACCCGCTCCCACGGGGGGACGGGAGTGGCATAAACAGACCAGAGGCTCTAGGCTTTGTAGGCTGCATTGTGCACCTAGACTGGTAGGGAATTCTTCCCTCTGAAAACTTGGGCACACAGCTAATTTTGCACTGAGAGTCCAGTACGTTTTGATTTGACAGAAGGTGTTGCAGGCGTTTCATTTTGTTTTCCCAATCAGATCCAAGCCACCTAAGAGAGACGAAAAGGAAAGGAAACGACGGAGCCCGTCCCCAAAACCCACCAAAGTACACATTGGGAGGCTAACCAGAAATGTGACCAAGGTGAGGGGCAGGGAGCTGCCCGTGCCTGCCAGAGCTGGCCTGGTGGTGGACCATGAGTCCAGGAGCTTCTTGGCAGGCTGGGAGGCTTGTCCCAGTTAGGTGGCAGTACACCAGTGTCAGTCATGGGGTGCTGAATGCTCTGTTACCTGCTTTTGTAGGACCACATCATGGAGATATTTTCCACCTATGGGAAGATTAAAATGATTGACATGCCTGTCGACAGAATGCATCCACATCTCTCCAAAGGCTACGCCTATGTGGAGTTTGAGAATCCCGACGAGGCGGAGAAGGCCCTGAAGCACATGGATGGAGGTGGGCTCTGGGGGCTCTGGGACGCTGGTGTGAAGGGGAACATCCGTGGCTGAGAACTAGGGTATCGGGTTGTAAGATTGTCTTTATCTGAAAGGCAGATTCAGACAGAAACCTTCCAACCACTGGTTCACTTCCTGAATGGCTGAACCAGGAGCCCGGAACTTCCGCTCAGTCTCCTGTGCAGGTGCAGGGTCTTAAGGAGTTAAGCATCTTCCGCTGCCTTCCCAAGCCACTAACAGAGTCAGATCAGATGTGAAACCGTTCCCAAGTGGGATGCCAGAGCTGAAGTGAAGGGTTAGCGTACTGCACCAGCCCCCGTTATTATGTTCGTGTAAGACAGAAATGACAGCATCTTCCTTCCGTCCGCCTCTGTCACAGCAACCAGGTTAGGCCAAGGTAAGACCAGGAGCCTGGGGCTTCATCCTCTCCTCCACGCCGACTGCTGCCTTCTCAGGCCTGTGGGCAGAGAAGTGAACAGACCCGACGTGACCCGGGCTGGAACGTGGCACTGAAGCAGTACTTTGGCAGACCTCCCTGCCACAGCCCGCTGCTGCGAGGCTTTGGTTTCTGGTCTTGCATTTCTAGGGTTGATTTAGTGAGTGGTAGGCTTGCTAGTTACTTTTTCCACCTACTTGTGTCCCTTGGACTGCTTATGACGTGTAAGTATATAGTTCTCTGTAGTTTTTGATGACCATTTTGTCTTTCGATCAGCGTCCTGGCTGCATTAGTTGAGTGGGCAAGGGCTGGGTGCGCAGCCACAGCCGCAGGAGCACTCTGGGTCCCTCAGCACTTAGGCAGCTTCTCTCCGTTGACTTAGATCTGTGGGAAGTGTTTGCTCAGCACCAGCTGTCACTCACTAAGAGCCTGGGGACGTGTGTGACTGGGGTTTCCCGGGCAGCCCCTCCACTGGCAGCTGCCGGGAAGGTGGATTTGTCCGTGACTGTGTAGTCGATTCCCTGTGGCCCCCAGTTGGGTCTGGTCTGGTCTGGTCTGGCAGTGAACTAGGGAAGCCTCGGGCTGTTTGCTAAGTTAAGCCTAGTTGGGTATGTATAACAAGAGTCCAGTATCTCAGGTAACCCAGGTGCTTCTGAGGTGGCCTGGGAGGTTGAAGTTAAAAAGACAAAGCAGGACCTGGAGTGGAGCGGGGCCTCAAACACCCACAGCCGCGTGCACAGTCTCCTGTGGTGGACAGAGTTGCACCTCCATTTCCTTTGTACCTAGGCTGCCTGTGGCCCTGCGGGTTACCCCTGGCTTCTTGCAGTCGCAACCCCCACCCCCTTCATTTGGTGCCACGCTTCCGCACTGCGCCTTGTACCTCGCCCTCGGCCCTGCCCTGTCTGCCCCCGCCTCCTGGCGTAGGTGCCGGTTCACTGAGCCTTGCTTGTTCCAGCAGGGCAGATTGATGGCCAGGAAATCACTGCGACCGCCGTGCTGGCCCCCTGGCCCAGGCCGCCCCCGAGGCGCTTCAGTCCCCCCAGGAGGATGCTGCCGCCGCCTCCCATGTGGCGCAGGTCACCACCCCGCATGAGGAGGAGGTAATTCAGAGCTGGTCCGGGCCTGCTGTGCCTGCAGAGTACGGGGGCGGGGAGGCCTTTCAGTGGCAGCGGGCAGCAGGGTCCCCCCAGAGATGCTGGGTCCTTCCAGCACTGCCATCTTGAGCTCTCTGGGAAGCTTCAGCAGTGGAGAGGGGTCAGGATCCCAGGAGGGGGCCGGGCTCCATGCTTCCAGGGCTAACTTGTTTTCTGCTCCCCTCAGGTCCCGCTCACCGCGCCGCAGGTCCCCCGTCCGCAGGCGGTCCCGCTCTCCCGGCCGCCGGCGTCACAGGAGCCGCTCGAGCTCCAACTCTTCCCGATAAGCAGCCACCAGAATTCCTTCCCCTGTAACTTTATGCCCTGTCCAACTCAGTTTTGTCACCCTGCTAGCCGGGATCAGATCCGTAGGAAAGGAATTCCCTGCTCGGACAGCCTTCGGAGGGGACGGTCACGACATTGGCTGTGCGGGTCACGTTCCAGAAACCGTGCGGGTTGGGGTCATGCCCTTGCAGGTTCCGTAGCTGGAAAGGTCCCTTTTGTGGTGCCCTCGGGGACAGCAGGGTGCCTGGGGCCGGGCTGGAGCCTGCCTGTGTGTCCCTGAGAGCCAGCTCTGCAGGGCATCACAGTGCACTGTCCCCACCCCCTTGGCATCTGCCACTCACGGTGGCGTCACTGGTTACCTTGACAACATGTACATTGCGTGCTTGTTTTGTTTTGTTTCTGCTTTGCTTTTATTGTACAGTCAGTACTATCAAATTCTTAAGTTGAGTTTTATAACTTTGCAGCATTTTAGATAATGTGTTTGTACTTTGTTGTGTAGAGTGGAAGAATTGTGTTGAATAAACTTAGGATTAGAGTGCAGAGTGCTGCGGCTTTTGTTGTGTGTTCTGGGCCTGTGCTGGGGAAAGCTCAGCCAGGCCTGAGCGGGGACGCAGACTGGCCACCTCCTGCCCGGCCCACCTGGCACAGGTGTCCGTTCACACCACTTCCGCTTCAGGGTCCCTGCTGCCCACGCAAGGCCCACTCACCTTTAACCCCTTGTCTAGCCTGGACAGGTGGCTTGTGGGGCAGAAATGCTCCCAGGATCCTCTAGTACTGAGATGCCCGAGTGTGCGGACCTGCCTCTCTGAGGGACAAGGGCCCGAGGCTGTGCCCCCTCCACTTCTGTTCCCCACAAGGACGCAGCGCGGCCAGGGCTGGGCCCTTTGCCCTCCCTGCTGCAGAGCCTAAGCCTTGGGGCGCGGCCGGAACGCCAGGGCCACTTCTTGACAAGGGGCACAGGCCAGAACAACCCCCCTTTCCTCCTGGAGCTCTGGGGACAGCACCTGTGGCTGGGGGTCCCGCAGCATGTCCTGGGGGCGGGGTCCTGCAGCATGTCCTGGGGGCGGGGTCCCGCAGCATGTCCTGGGGACGGGGTCCTGCAGCATGTCCTGGGGACGGGGTCCCGCAGCATGTCCTGGGGACGGGGTCCTGCAGCATGTCCTCCTGGGGACGGGGTCCTGCAGCATGTCCTGGGGACGGGGTCCCGCAGCATGTCCTCCTGGGGACGGGGTCCCGCAGCATGTCCTCCTGGGGACGGGGTCCCGCAGCATGTCCTCCTGGGGACGGGGTCCCGCAGCATGTCCTCCTGGGGACGGGGTCCCGCAGCATGTCCTCCTGGGGGCGGGGTCCCGCAGCATGTCCTGGGGGCGGGGTCCCGCAGCATGACCTCCTGGGGACGGGGTCCCGCAGCATGACCTCCTGGGGACGGGGTCCCGCAGTATGTCCTGGGGACGGGGTCCCGCAGCATGTCCTCCTGGGGACGGGGTCCCGCAGCATGTCCTGGGGACGGGGTCCCGCAGCATGTCCTGGGGGCGGGGCCCGGCTCCCTCCCTGCGGCCCCGCCCCTGGCGGCCAGGCTGGCCAAGATGGCGCTGGCGGCGGCCTTGCGCGTCCCCTTGCGCGTCCCCTTGCGCGTCCCCTCGCGCGCCCTGCTCTTCGCGGGTACGTGGAATGGCCGGGGGCCGCGGAGCTGGCGCGTGGCGGGGCGCCGGGCTGGGACCCACGCGCCTTCCTCCTCTCTCCCGTGTGGCAGGAGTCCGAGCCGGGCGCGGGCGGCCGGCGGCCGGCGGCGGGGACGGCGCGCGGCGCTTCGCGAGCCACAAGGTGCTGGTGGAGCCGGGCCCGGCCGCAGGTGAGCGGGCAGGGGCCTCGGAGAGGGGTGGGAGAGCTCGGGGGTCCACCCGAGCTGTCGGGGTGTGGGGGTGTGGGGCTGGCTCGGTGCTGCCCGCGGGCACGGCGCTGCCCGGCCGCCTCCCCCGGGACAAGGCCGAACCCCGGGTTTAGAACCAACCGGGTCCGGCGAGAACTTGTGTTTCTGAAAGGCTCCTGTCTGTGAGGAAGTTGCATGTTATCAAAGTGCGGGGAAGGAAAAAAATTTTTAACGGCGGGGAGGGTTAACTTTATCAGGTGTTACAATACAGAGCTTTTGGGGGAAAATGTGTCATGAACAGCATGCATGGGTTTGGAAAAACGCCCAGGGCCACAGCAGCTCCTGCTTTGAATCCTGCGTTTTCAGCAGCCTGTTGTACGGGGAGTTTGCCCCCGCCAGCTGGGATCTAGTGCTGGCCCTAGAACCGAGGACCCCCGGCGGCGCCCCCGCCGAGTGTGTGGATCCCTCCATGTGGTCCTTGAGGAAACCTTTACCCAGAGTCCACCCTGTCTAGCTCCTCCTGCAGTTAGCTCATGTTCACCTTTAAACCTTGTGACCTTCCCCACCGCCTGGGCAGCTTGTTTCTGGAACTGTGGATCTCACACTATTTCAAAAAACAACAACAGCAACAACTACATTTAATATTTATTGCCATCCACTGATCCACTTTCCCAAATGTCCACACCACAGCCAGGACCAAGCTGATTCCAAAGTACTCTTGTAGCTCCCCTGCGAGCGGCAGGGGTCCCGCTGCCCAGGCAACCCCAGAGCCACCTGGAGCAAGAAGTCGGAGCCAAGCGCTGAAGCTAGGCAGCTGAACTCAGTCCCTCCAGAACCCAGAACGGGAAGCTGCCAAGTCACTGTTAGACCAGATCCACCTGACTGTCCGTTTCCCACGGTTTTGCCTGGGTAGACTTGGAGCCAGCAGCTATGTTCTCTGAGGACTTGGTCATCACTCCAGGGAAGGACTTGTGTGGACCACAGAGTCACCGGCAGGCATGGGCCATGTCCCTGCAGCCCACGGTGGTGCGGTTGGGGCACAAGGCGGGCACAGGCGTGGGCAGCCCAGGACTGTGTCCATGTATTTTTAGTCCCTCCCTTCCAGCACACCTGAGCCAGAGCCCCACTAGGTGTGTCCTGGCACAACTTTTTTTGTCTGAGATTTTTCTCCTGGAGAAAAGAGAGAATCCTGTTCCCACGAGGGCCCAGGAGTTGGCTTTCAGAGCACAGGAAGACCAGCTGGTCGGGGGCTGGAAGCACTGCCTCAGACACTGCCAGCTGGCCTCAGTCCAAGCTGCTGTCCTTGGGGCTGAGTGGATGCACACAGGCTGCAGCTCAGCCCAGGACACAGCAGGTTACAGGGCCGGCCTGCTACCCCTGAGGTCAGCTGGATGTCAGCTTGAGGCCAGACTGGCCAGAGAGCCGGTGTGTCCCTCCACCAATGCTGTGCTGAGGTCTCTGAGATGAGCATGCCCGAAGACAGGTCTCTTCCTCTGTCTCTCCTCGTCTCTAGATATCTGACTTTCCAGTAAAAATAAATAAAATCTTAAAAAAAAAAAAAAAAGGCCTGCCTCTCCTTTGTGCAATAGATAGCAAGGAGGCAGCAGCAGGCAAGTTTAGAGAGGAGGAGAGACAGATCTGTCCACTGAGTCTCTCCCCAAGTGACCACAATGGCCGGTGCTGAGCCAATACAAACCAGGAGCTCCTCCGGGTCTCTCACATGGGTGCAGGGTCCCAAAGCCTTGGGCCGTCCTCAACTGCTCTCCCAGGCCACAAACAGGGAACTGGATGGGAAGTAGAGCTGCTGAGATTAGAACCGGTGCCCATATGGGATTCCGGTGTGTTCAAGGTAAGGACTTTAGCCACTAGGCCACCATGCTGGGCCCAAAAATAAATGTTTTATAGCGAAAAACCTTATAGGGCTCAGCATGTTGCCTGAGCCTGAGGCTGCAACGGTGGAGGGGAGCGCCCCTGGGGCAGTGGTGTCCTGCTGAATGTGCTTAAGGAAGGAAGTTGCTCACTTTAAAAAGAGCTCATCTACAGCCTGAGCCTCACCCATCAGCAGCCTCACACCAGAGCCAGCGCTAGGACACAGCGCACTCAGCCACTACCTGGGCCCCACATGCCCATCAGAGTGTGCGGGACACTGTATGCTCCTGTTTTGGGCTGCTCTGGTTTCCAACGCAACTTCCTGCTAATGTGCCTGGGCAGGCAGGAGCAGGACCCCTGTGCTTGGGAGACCAGGCTGGGATTCTTGGCTGTCGTCCTCTGGGGAGCAAGCCAACAGGTGGGATGTGCTGGACACCAGTGTCCCGTTCCTTGTTTTTGACTCAGGGGTCGCCGTGATGAAACTCGGGAGCCCCCCAGTGAACAGCCTCAGCCTGGAGCTTCTGACAGAGTTCGTCATCAGCCTGGAGAAGCTTGAGAATGATAAGAGCTTCCGGGGCGTCCTCCTCACCTCGGTGGGTGGCCCCTATCACCCTGGGGGCCCCCATCTGGGCCTCAGTGGGTCCTCAGCCCTGAGGCAGGTCTGGCACAGGCCACATCTGCCCACCCTGCGGTCCCTGTCCAAAGCCGCCTGCCCGTGAGCCCTATGTTACCTGGGGCTTCCTGACAACTTTTCAGAGGCCAGTCATGGCCAGCAGGTCACCAGCATGGGCTGAGCAGGTGCACACTTCACCCACAGCCTGCTCTGCTGTGTCTCCCACGGGCCTGATGGCTCAATTGTCAGTGTCGTTAGCTTGGCCCGCGTGGACAGGGAGGCACAGAGGGGGCGAGCTCAGGAAGCTGTCAGGGGGTGGAGTAGACTCTGGCACCCCTGTCTTCCCCTTCCAGGCAGCATGGTGAGCGAATCTGCCAACCCCCACAAGGACCTCCCAGGCTGTGCTCTCAGGAGCCGTGGGGGCTTGTGCTGACCCCGATGAGCCTGTCCTGGCCGAGCCCTTTGCCCTGGCTGTCTCTTTTCACCCCTGCACATCTTTGGTAGTTGTGTGGCAACCTGGGTCATCAGAGCATGCCTCCCAGATGCTGCCCCTGCAGGGATCTGCAGCTTGCCTGGCCCTTCGGGGCAAAATCAGATCCTGGAGCCAACTGCGCACCTGAGCTGTCAGCTGCACTTGTCCTCCGAGCAGTCAGAAGCTGTGGAGGGGACAGCAGCTTGAGGGCGACGAGATCCCAGGAGGTCAGACCCAAGGCCCCAGGCACCACAGCTTCGGGCTCCTTGGGGCAGCCCCTGGCTCTAACCCCACTGTCCCTTGGGCACCTCAACCCTGGTGACACAGGGCCAGTCTGGAGGTGGACTGGCAGGCACCTGACCGCGGCCACATCCCCTAGGACTGCCCTGGCATCTTCTCTGCCGGCCTGGACCTGACAGAAATGTGCGGGAGAAGCCCTGCCCACTACGCCGAGTACTGGAAGGCCGTGCAGGAGCTATGGCTGCGGCTCTACCTGTCCAACCTGGTGCTGGTTGCCGCCATCAATGTGAGCGTCCCCACCCCCAGGCGGCCTCAGGCCCTCGAGCAGCCCAACGGGGGGTTGTGAGGGGCGTAAGTGCTTATGCTGTGTAGCAACTGGCCTGAAGGACGTGGGCAAACATTTTAGAGCCCTTGTTCTGCCCAGCCTGAAGGAGCAGGGCAGGGCTGGCTGTGCACAGCAGCGGAGGCTACTTACC